GACCTCCTCGGCGCCTTCAACATGGCGGCTTGGCTGCAGCTTCGCAGCGCTGGAGGTCCTTCAACCCCGTCGTGGTTCGCACTTAGCATTGGTGCGCTGACCAGCACAGCCCATGCGACCCTTCCTGAATTTCAGTGTCTCCATCTTGGGCCACAGCGTCAACGCGATCGCCTGGGTGATCTACGGGCGCCGTCGCAAGCATCTTCCACGCGCCCATGCCCATATTTCTAAGTGGGAAGCGTTTGTGGAAACGTTGGCGCGCGCTCAGGCAGGCGACGCCCTCCCGGTCGTCCCTGACTACACCGCCTTTCGGCTTGCAGCCAGTTCGGGAGTGGTATGAGCATTCTCCATCCTCCGCTGGCCCACAATGCTCTGTCACGAGGGCGACCAAGCGCTGCCTTACTCCATGCCCGCTGTCGAATTGCTTCGCCGCCAGCGTCTTTTGGACCTTCCCTGAGATGTACCTCGACGGCCGCTCCGGCGTTCGACTGCGCCGATGGGGCCACATTCTTTAATGCCTGCGTGGATGCTCGATGCCGTGGGCTCTCGCGCACATCAAGACGGTCGCTAACGGCTGGGCCACGTCGCACCGCGCACTCCAAACTCATGGCCGCCTCTCTTGCCGCCTTGGTTGCAAGCACTGCCCTGACGCCCTCAAGCACTATCTCATGCGCGGTCCTTTTTTCGGAGACTTGTGGAGGAAGAGCTTGGCTACTCGCGGCCTACCGCGGCGCCGGGGCGTCTGGGCTTCCTCGGCAGCGTGATCGAGCAGGGCCGCGCCGCACTCGATGTCGTGGCCATGTACTACACCTGTCTCAGCGCTGCCAATGGCTCGGCCGCCTTTGTCTGGTCCCTCGAGACAGTCGCGCGTCAAAGCAGCTACTCGCGCAGCTCCGCCAGGGGCCTCATCACATTCGCGGGCTCCGCTTTCTTCTGGCCGCAGAGCTCGGTGCTCACGTCGCCGGCCTCCTGATTCTTGCAGCACTTCAGCAAAGTCGCCCAGCGCTTCGACCAGCTCGTCGTCCTCGTCTTCGCCCATCTCGCCTGGCACGACACCGCTGCTTCCTGGGACCTGCGTTGTCGAGGCCGCCATCGTTCTGGATACCGTCCCGCTCCTCCACGTAGACGGCGATGGTGCCTCTGGCTCGACGACTGCTCTCGAGGCTCAAGCACGGCCTTTCGCTACTATGGTGGGCCAGCCTGCTGCGGTGGCTGGTCGTGGCCTCCCCCGTGATATCTCGCTCCTGAGTTCGTCTGGGGCCCTTGGTTCACTGCTCCGAGACCAAGCGACTGAGGACTGGTGACCTGCACGGCCTCTCCTGTCTGGGGCCGACGTCTCTGGCGACCTGCTCCGAGAGGATGCGTTTGAGGCCTCGGGCACCCTGCTCTGCAATGGTGGCTATTCTTTCAGCGTCATGGACTTTCGTGGCGCGCGGCCTGTTCTTTTCCCCTGCCCAGCGCTTTCTCGCCCTTCGTCGCGGGCTGATCAGCCGCGCCATGATCCGGGCAGACAGCTGGGTGCCATCAATATGCTACCAGAGCGTGGCTGGCAACTTCGCGACCATGATGGTTGGTGCGTCGACCGCGTCTTCGGGCTGCTGTTCCACCCCACTTTGCGGGCCACTTCCCCCGCGTCATTGCTCGCAGGGGCGGCTGCCAACCATCGGCGCCGCGAAGCGGAAGAAATCTGCGCAGCAGGTTGGTATGGAAGCGCTATCTCTCGTGAGCGCCTCCGCCGGGAGCTTCGGGGCGCGCCCCCCAACCTCTCGGGCGAGGTCTTGCGCCTGATGGCGAAGCTCTCCAAGCAGCACTACGGCATGCTCACCTGGCACCCTGGCCCGCCCCGCGTGCCTGTGGACCTGCGCACCCGCTTCCTATCCTGGGTTGAACGCGGCAGCACCGAGCGGCATGGCCGCGACTTGAATATGATTCCAACACCGCGCGCGCACAAAGCAGACCTCGTCGCTACCCGTGGCTTTTGAATCGACGACCTCGACCTGGGCCCGACGGATCCAACGCTCATAGATACCCCGAGATCCTCAGAGGAAGAATGCTCTCCCAAGGAGACCGAGCCGAACACGCAGCGCGGCCCGTGAGCGGACTCCTACCTGTCCCCATAGATGCCGGCCTGGATGTGATGGGCGAGATCCAGGCGGGGCTCTCGCGGTCACCGCCCCCGCCGGCCCTCTTCGAAGACGACGCGATGTCTAATGGCGAAATTCGCTGGCATCTTTGGCCCTTGGCCCCCGCCCAAAGCCGTCCGTAGCGTGGCAGGGGCGCCCTCCAGCCTTCTTCAGTGCCATGCCGTCCGAGCCGGCTGCGGGCTCATCAAGCCCTCCACCTCCAGGAGCTCATTCGGGCGTTCTTACTTGGATTGGCTCTGCCTTCTCGTCGGCGCAAACTTTGGCCCTTGCTGTCGCGCCAGTTGCCGCGTGTCCGGCCCTGCCCAGACCATGGGCTGAATGACCGCATCTTCGAAGGAAGCGAGGGCAGCGAGTCCATGGAGCTTGGGGGCACCGCTACTCCGCCTGACATGATCACGCCGCCGCTCCCCGCGCCGCTCGTGGCTGATCCTTCTCCGTCAGCGCCTCCGTCGGCCACTCTCGGCGGCTCCCTCGCCTGCGTGCTCGCCGCCAACTGCGCTGCCCGTCGAGCCGACCTATCCCGGGGCGGTCTCTATTCCTCAGCTGGCTAGCGCCCTTCGTGCCCTGAACAAATTGCACCCATAGATCTCCGTGGGCAGGGGGGGGCTGGTCTGCCGGATGGTGAACGCCCGCAGCTACCTTCTTTGAGAAGACGAAGAAAGCCCACATGATGAGGAGTCGGGGTGTCTACCCGGTCTTGGCGCGCAGGATTTGTTTGACGATGCACTTGGATTTCTCGAACTTTGTGCTGAAGAAGATGCCGTGGTCTTCGGCTCGGGGGATGACGGGTCTGCGCCGCGGCCGTTGGCCGGCATTCTTTTGGGCGCGCGCGCTGCTGCCGAGAGTGACTCCGACGACGTCGACCCCAGCTTCGCGCGCCTGGCGGTTGACGTCGGCATGGCCCCAGCTGGGGCTCACATCGACGATGCAGATGACCCTGCCTTCGTCGCCCTCGCGGGCTTGGAGGGCGCCTTCCCCGACCGCGCGCCCTTCGACCCCGCGTCGCAGGAGGCGTTCGGCGACGCATCCGCGGACGTCGCCGCCTTCTCCAATGCCGACGGCGTCGCCACCTCCGCCGCCGACCGCGACGCCATGCCCCTGAGTGTCCCGGGGGCGCTCGGCCGAGCGCGTAGCGGGCGACTGGAGGACTTTTGCCCCCAGGGACGCTCGCTCCTGCTCCCTCCTCCATCCTCCTTCCTCCCGCCTCCCTCTTCTTTTACTGCCTCCGCTCATGCCCCGCGGGCGCGCACGGGGCAGTGCCCGCCAGCGGCTGCTGCCGCAGCGCCCTTCCGGAATTCCCACAACGCGCAAAACGTAATTCCGCAATTTCGAGAAGTTCGGAATTTTTATGTTTCAATGCCAACCATAATCCCCGCAATTCCGCAACGATGGTCTTCAAATTCCAGACTCGCAAACATGGATTAGGAAATTCCAGAATCTCAAGAATCGCGTGCCCAGCGATGCGCCGTCATGGATTGGGTTTGTTGTCGCCGTTCAGACTGGGCGGCCGTCGCATGGGAAGTTTGAATTATTATATCGAGTTTGTTTGAAGCGGTCGGCGCGAAACCAGCGTTTTTGAAAGCGGGAGGCATCGCAACTGATGCTATCGTAGATAAAATATGTATTCTCAGCATTGGCACCGCGCACCTTTAAACCACACCCTTTCGCGACCCCCGACATCGTGGGAGCCTGGTATATTTTCAGACTTCCGTTTTTAGCCTCGATTCGCGCCGGCTTGCGTTTGGGAGTCGATGGGGGAGCGCCGACTTAGCAGCGCGTGGGAGTCGTTGGGAGATTGCCGACTTTGCGTCGGCTAGCGTACAGCAGCGTCGATTTAGCGTCGACTCGCATCGTCTAGCGTCGATTTGTGTTCAATCTCAAGAGCCGAGAAGATAGTTTGGAAGGCTCCCATGAGTTGCCACCGAACGCTTGCCGACGACGCTTGCCGCCGCCGTCGCTGCCGTCGTTGCCGCCGTCGCCGCCGCCGTCGTCGCCCGCCGTTGTCCGTCGGGGGTCACGGTCGCAGTCGTGGTCGGCGTTCGCCGCCGCCGCCGTCGTCGTCGTGGTCTCCGCTGAGGTTGCCCTCGCCATCCGCTGTCGACGTCCTCGCGGTCGCGGTGTCGTCTTCGCCCTGGTTTCGAGCAGTGGCAAAGTGTTTTGGCCGGCGTATAGACACACCAAAGCATGTTTGATAATCGTTCGTGGTCTGCCCGAGCTGTTTTTCGCACGCGTATGGGTTAGGTCTTCGATAGTATTGTCTAAAAACATTGTTACTGCTATCAAAACAGCTTTGGGCTCCAACGAAGTTTCGTGGAATGCCTACAGGAATACCGGGACGGTCGGTCCCTGCTCCATGGTAGTTGCCCTCGTCACCTGCGGTCGGCGTCATCGCGGTCGCGGCGTCGTCATCGCCTTGGTCTTCGCGTTTTGTTTCCATCATCTCTCTGTCTTCTCGGCATCGTACCAAGGACCTCGCCCCTGTCGTTGTCGCCTCGGTGTCGCGTTCCTCGTCGTTCTCGTGGCTTTCGTCGTCGAACAATTGTTTTTTCTGGTTTTCTGTTACGAAGGAATCATCCGATATTGTTTTCCTTGTACGGCGACATCGGGTGTCCCATGTTGTCCGCGTCGTCGTCGTTCCCTGGAGAGGAGGGAAGGAGAAGGAGGATGAGGAGGGAGAGTGTATGACTACGTGGTGGGAGGAGAAGCGGAGAGGAGGGAGGCTTGATCATACGCAGGAGTTCGATGATAACGACGACGATAACAGGGACGACGACGACGATGTGGACGAGTACGACGACGAGAGGATGATGGACGCGAGGGCGCCGGCGACGACTGCGTCCGTGGGGCCTTCCGAAGGCGGCGCCGCCACCGCTCGAGACCCACAGCGCGCTCGCGCCGCCCCTGCCCGCGGAGGATGCGCCGAGCGTGCCGCCGAGGTGGAGCCAGGCGGTTGGGTCCGGCAGGCCCCTGTGCGCGCCCGTCGCCGCTCGCCACCGTTGCCGTCGTCGCTGTCGTCAAGTCTAGTAGCTGTCTTCGCCGTCGTGCTGTTTTCGGTCGTCGTCGTCGTTGTTTTCGTCGTCGTCGTCGGTATCGTCGTCGCCGTTCGTCGTGGTCGACGGTGTCGTCGTCGCTCTCGTCGTCGTCGTCTTTCCTGTCGTCGTTGTTCTCGTCGTCGCTTCCTTAGTCGTCGTCGTCCCGTGCTCGTCGTCTTCGTCGTCAGTCGACGTCGTCGTCCTCCTCTTCCGCTTTTTCTTTCCACCGGTTTTCCTCGCTCTCTCTCTCTCTCTCGCTCACTCCCCGTTTCCCCTGGATCTTCCTTGGGTAGAGTCTCTGCCTTCCTAAGGTGCATGTTGTTCGAAGTGATCGCTCACGGCAGTTACCTTCGTCGTCGTCCTCGCTTTTCCTCATCCTTCATCGTCGTTCATCTTCACATTTTGTTTCATCCCCCCTCATCCTTCTCCCTCATGCTTTATCCTCCCTCACCCTTCATTGCCTCTATCCTCCTCGTAGCCTCTGCTCCCTCCCTCTCCCCCTCCCCTCCGTCCTGATACTTTGACGGCCTCCAACGAGGGGATTGTCGAACCGACTGAGAGGATCTGGAGCGCGAAGGAGGAGGATGAGGAGGAAGAAGATGAAGATGAGCGGAGGGAGGCGGGGGAGGTGGAGGAGAAGGAGGGAGCAGGGTTGGGGAGGTGGAGGAGGGGTGGAGGAGAGGTGGAGGAGGAGGAGGTGGAGATGGAGGAGGGGTGGAGTTCGAGATCAGAAGAAAGCGCGAGGCACGGGAGAACGAGGAGGAGGGGGGCTGAACAGTAGGAACCGTTTGCTCAGCACGTCGCGCCACCGGTTCCGGCCTGCCGTGATCTGCCACGGCTCAGCACGGCAGTGTGAGCACCCCCCCGTCCGCAGGCGTCACCGCTCCGAGTTCTCCCCCGCTTCCCGGCCCACAAAAAAAAAAGCAGCACGCTGCCAGCTTGCAAGGCACATCGTGTCGGGGGGACCGCCGCCGCGGCACGCTGAGCAGAAGTCCATCACAGGAGGAGGAGGAGGGCTCAGGAGGAGGAGGAGGAGGAGGAGGAGGAGGAGGAGGAGGAGGGCTCAGGAGGAGGAGGGCTCAGGAGGAGGAGGAGGAGGGCTCAGGAGGAGGAGGAGGAGAATAAGTGGAAACCCGAGATTCCTCAACGGTGCTGGAATACACCCTCCCGCCAAGCTCTTTCTCCATCGGCCCCTACAAGGATTCATTTCCGCAGAGGGAGGTGCCCTGTTGGGGGACAACCGCTCGAAGATCATAGAGCGTTCCCAAACACCGTTCCCAGGATTTCAACGCCACGAATCAACCTGACTGTTGCGTCTTGACGATCCCGAGTCGTGCCACACTGAAACTCCTGGGACTTCAACACCGCGAATCCACAGTCCAGAGTCGATCCAAGCGACCGTTTCTGGTGCGTTCGCCATGGGAAGAAAAGGTTGGAACATTGAAGTCGTATGTGCGCGGCGCTGAGGGGAGAGCCACATTTTGAAGAGGAGTTGCCCTCAACCTGTTTTTGTTCTGCAAGTATGTGATACGTATGTGCGCGGCTCTTAGGCGAGAGCCACGATTTGAAAACTACCCGCCCTCAATCCGTGGAGCTCCTGCAATGTTGAACACGAGTGTGCGCCGCGCTGAGGCGAGAGCCAAATGTTGAAAACGACCCGAACTCAATCCGCCAAACTCTTGTAATTTCTTAACAGAAAGGGATGTGCGCGGCGCTAAGGCGAAAGCCACATATTGAAAGCCACCCGCCCTCAATCAACGAAACTTCTAGGGAATTCCTTGAATTTGCGAGTGGCTACGGCGAGAGCCACATTTCGAAAACCACCCGCCCTCATTCCGGGAAGCTGTTGCAATTTGCTCCGCCGAGTGTGCGCGGCGCCAAGGCGAGAGCCACGTTAAAGCCACCCGCATTCAACCCGTGAGGTTGTTACCATACCCTTCGCTTTCGGATTCAGAAATGGTATGGGACTCTCAGGCGAAACACCCAGCCCGCCCTTTCGATTGGCCTCGGGGTGGCACGGGGAGGAGTTCTTCATGCGGAACAGGGGGGAGCAGGATGCGAGTTCACGCCCCAGACTTTCTCGGAACGCCTCGCGTCGATCGTTGGCGGTCTCCGTCGACCTCGGGGACGCCCCATCGGGCGCCCTCCTCTCCTGCCTGTCTTTCCTCGGTCATCCCCTCACTCCCTTCTTGCTCATCTCTCCTGGCGGCTGCGCGATGTAAGCTGGTGGGCCACCAGCTAACCTCATCGCCACCGCAGCTCCGAGGGCCTACAGGCCGGTGGTCAGTAGGGCGAGGGGCTCGAGCCCACGGCTTCCCACGACTGCTTATCTCTCTCACCGGCTGCCGCCTCCTCCGTCCTCCATCGGGGCCATCCCTACTCCTCCCGTGTCCGCCCTCCCTCCTGTCTCGTTCTCCCTCTGCCTCCTTGCTCGTCCCTCCTCGTCCTTCCGTATCAGCTCTGTTCCCGCCTTCCCTTCCTCTATCCCTTCCTATTTACACCTCCCTCGCCCTCTCTGCTCCATATTTATCCCTCCTACTCGCTCCTTACCTCACCCCTCCCTTCATGTTGCTCACCCCCATCCCCCCCTCCGGCAAGCCCCGCCCTTTTCCGAGCCCCACGGGCATCCCGAAGGTGACGAGCTGAGTCGTCCACCCCCGCACGAGCTCGTGCCTTCCTGCCTGTCCGTCCTTGCCCGTCCTGGCGGTCATTTTCGCTTCCGCAATCTTCGCAGTCTTCGTCGGCGTTGTCGCCGTCGCGGCTGGTCGCCGTCGCCGCCGCCACTGATGCTGTCGCAGTCGTTCGGAGCAGGGCGAGTTACTACAAAGGCAGCTCAAAGTCCTTCCCATGACCCATCCTGGGGTTCGGACGCGCCAGTTTCCCGAGCTGCGTCCAGCAATGGCGGCGAGGTTTCCCCCCCCCCGACGCAGCTACTGTTGTCTCAACTCTAGGCCTCCTAGATGGGGCCGGAGTAGATGGGGTCGGAGGATCGCGCCGCATCGCCGATGCCTCGCCGATGCGGCTCGATGCGGAGCCCGATTTGCTTCACGTCGACGTCGCCGATGCATCGCTGACGTCGACGATCCTTCGCCTGTGCATCGCCGGTGCATCGCCGATGCAACGCCGATGTATCTGCGATGCGGCGCAATCCTCCGACCTCATCTACTGCGACCCCATCTAGGAGGCTTCTGTCAGCTGGCCCTCCGCGGAGACGTGGCCCTCGACGCCCCCAGGCATCTTATGACCTCGTTTGCGCAGTCCGGGTCCCGACTTCTTCTGGGGCCGAACTTTTGTTGCCCCAGGCCCGTCTTTGATCGTCCTGCACGCCCAACAACGGACCCCAGGGCCCGAAATCAAGGAACAGCGCCAGTGTTCAAACAACCACATCGTTGGAGGTTTGGGTCGTTCTCGCTGCCAGCCGCCGACGCCGCCAGCGCCCTGCCACACCGGCTCTCCTCCTCCTCCCCCTCCTCCTCCTCCTTCTCCTCCTCCTCCTCGTCCTTGTCCTCCTCCTCCCCCTCCTCCTCCTCCTCCTCCTCCTCCTCCTCCTCCTCCTCCTCCTCCTCCTCCCCCTCCTCCTCCTCCTGGCAGCGGCGGCGCCCGCCAGGCCCCTCCGCGAGGCCGCCGCGCAGGACCCGCCCCCGCCGCAGCGGCCGCCGCCCAGCGGCGCCGCCGGCGGCCCGCCGCCGATCGGCGCCTGGCGCAGCGAGCCCTCCGCAGGCGGCCGCGGCTCCCGCGGCCGGCGGCCTCTCCGGCGGCCTCCTCTCAAAAAAGGAAAACGCACAGACACAAGGAATCGTCGATATTCCAGAAAATATGGGAAGATATGGGGAAATATAGGAACACCTATGGGGAATATGGGGAAATACAGGAATATGGGGAATACGGGGAAATATATGGGGAATGTGGGAAATTATGTCGGAAAACATAGGGAAACATGTGGAAAGATGGGAAGTGGGGGGGAAGACACACACACACAGAAACAATTACACGCCGGTCGTTGAAGGTAGGTATTTTTTGGATTCCCATATCCCAATCTACTTCAAGCGCCTTCCTATTTGAAGAGTCGACATACGTTTGCTGTGTTTTGTCATTCTCTGGGAGGACCTGGACCCAATCTATTAGATCCGCCCTTCTAAGTCATGGTTCTAACTACTTCTTCCGACCGACGTGCAATGGTGGATTCCCAAGAAAGCATGAGAAAATATGGGAGGTGGGGGCGAGGACAAAAACCCAGAAAATATGGAAACGTATGGGGAATCCTGTTCTCTGTGTCTATTTATTGAATCGCTTCGCTCATTCCGCCGGCCCGTGATATGGCATCGCTGGTTTTTGTCTGTGTGTTCGTTGCCCATGTTGCGCTCTTGGGGGCGGGTGTCGTTCGGACGCGTTGCGTGGGGAGTTTTGATGGTGAAGCAGTTCCCTGGGGGTCGTCTCTCGATGGGGCGAAATAGAGTCGTCGTCAAGATGCTTCTTTGGGGGGCCTCTTGGGGTCTGTTGAGAGGCCGTTCGGGGGCGCCTGGGAGACATGTTTGAAGCCTTCTGGGGCTTCTTTTGGGCCTCCTGGGAGTCTCCTGGGGCCTCTTGGCGACATCTTGGGGCCTCTTGGAGGCCTCTTGGGGCCTCTTTGGGACCTCCTGGGCGCCTTCTGGGACGGAGGGCTCCATTTTTGAGTTCTCGGTATCCCTCCTGAGTCCCTCTTGGGCCCGTCTTGGGGCCTCTTGGTCCGTCTTGGGCGGCACTTGGGCCGTCTTGAGGGCTCTCTTGGGTCGTTTCGGCGCCGTCTTGGGAGCTTCGTGGGCCGTCTTGGAGCGGTCTTGGGGGCCTCTTGGGCCGTCTTGGAGCGTCCGGAAGCCGAAAAAGCCAGAACACAAAAAACATCGAAAAAAACAATGAAAATCAACGATTTTGGCCTCTTGGGGCTCTCTTCGGAGGCCTCTTGGAAGGCTCTTGGGGCGTCTTGGAGGCCTCTTGGGCTGTCTTGGGGGCCTTTTGGGCCGTCTTGGGGTCATCTTCGGCGTCTTCGAGCGCTCTTTGGGCGTCTCGGGGGCCTCTTGGGCAGTCTTGGGGGCCTCTTGGGGCACTCTGAGCGCGCTCTGGGGAGCCTGAGAGGCCGCACCCAGAAGGAAAACCATCTCTGAGTAGACTTGGTCGGGCGGCGGTCGGGCGGCGGTCGGGCGTTGGTCGGGGTACTTTTCGCCGGGGGACCCCCAGGGGCCGCCCCGCGCGCGCGAACTAGAAATACTGTTAATACTGTTAACCAGTTACCGGAGATCTTAGCACGCCCTGGCCCGTTGGGCCGGCGAATTTGTGTCCCAGGGCCCCTTCAGCTTCGGCGGCCTGCGGCGGCCTGCACCAGAGCACCGGGGGGACGACGAGGGCGGGGGGGCGCGCCATACGCCATGTGCGCCACGTTCGGGGCACGAGCAGAGTGTGCGGGATGCGCCTGCGCACGTGCCAGCGCACGTCTGGAAACATGTCGGCCCCCACCATCCTGATCGAAAGCCAATGCACAATCGCGGCGGGGAGGTCATCATGGTGTCTGGCGAGCCTGCGCACAGCAAGCAATATGCCCGAACCCCCTGCGTCTTTGTCAAAAACCAATGGGCAATGATCGCGGGGTGGCCGCGCATGATTCAGATTTAGTCGCGAAGTGTGATTTGCATTGTTTTGAAAGGGATGTTCACCTTGCGCACGGCAGGCAATAGGACAACCCTTCTCCGACCCTGTCAACAAAGCAGTGTGAAGTGTTCGCAGAGCCCACGAGCATGACCCAATGTGCGTAAGGGCTTCGCCCCCTGCCAGCGGCCCCTTCTTTCGAATAATGGGCAATGCAAGAGCGAAATCATGAGGCCTTGGCGCCGCCGTGAAGCAGCGTCGGGAACTCACGCGAAGACGATGAGTAATCGGCAAGACAAATTGAGATTCGGAGGATATCGTTGAATTTGGTATTGTATTTCGAGCTTGTTTGCGTATGCTGTGAAACAATATGTTCTACGAAGTTTTTGCATGTTGCAGATCTCATTGTGTTTTTTTACCCTGACCCCACCGATCTGCGCGAGTGGTGGCACCCAATTTCAAGACATATGGCAAATCCCATGTGACAACCGACCCTGACCCCGCCGATCTGCATGAGAAGTGCCACCGAATTTCGGACATGTGGTAAATCCCTTGTGTGTTTGGACCCTGACCCCACTGATCTGCGTGAAGGGGGCTACCGAATTACAAGACATGTGGCAAATCCCATGTGGTGTTCGACCCTGACCCCGCCGATCTGCAAGATGGGTGTTACCGAATTTCAACAATGAGGTAACACCCATGTGTTTTTGGACCCTGACCCTACCGATCTGCGCGAGGGGTTCCACCGAAATTCAGAAATGTGGCAAATCCCTTTTGTTTTTGGACCCTGATCCCGCCGATCTGCGTGAGAAATGTAGCAAATCCTTTGTGGCTTAAAAGTTTGACCTTGTTGACCTGTGTGAGGGGCGCCACCGAATTGAGGAAACGTGGCTAATCCCATGTGTTTTTGGACCCTGACCCCGCCGATCTGCGTGAGGGGTGCCGTGAAATTTGGAAAAATGTAGCAAATCCCACTGTTGTTTCGACCCTAGCTCCGCCGATCTGCGTAAGGGGTGCCACCGAATTTAAGACATGTGGCAAATCCTGAGTGTTTTTGGACCCTGACCCCGCCGATCTGCGTTAGCAGTGCTTCAGAATTTTTAAACATGTGGGACCTCTTCTTTGTTTTTAGACCCTGACTCCGCCGATCTGCCTGAGGGGTGCTGCCGGATTTTAGAAATGTGGCAAATCCCATCGGTTTTTTGACCCTGACTCCGCCGATCTGCGCGAGGGGTGCCACCGGAATTATCTGCATGAGGGGTGCCGCCGAATTTCTCTGATGTGGCAAATCTCTTGTGTTTTTGGACCCTGACTCCGCCGATCTGCGTGAGGGGTGTCAATTTCGACCCTCCAGGAATTCTGAGACCCTTCCCTCGAGACGCGAACCAGGCTGATTTTCTGCTCCCCCCAAGGGGGCCGGCGGATTTTGGCCCAGGGTGTACATCGTTGTTGACAGTGGCGGTAGGAAGGTGGTGAATTGTTCCCGGTGGGCTGCTGGTCGCTTGGGCAGGTTTCTTTTTTTGAACAGGGGCCATTGGCACTGATAAACCCCTCCGCGAAGTGGAAGAACAAGAGGTTGGCAGAGGACGCCCCCAAGCCACTCACGCCCTCAATGGGCGGCGCTGCTCCGCCCGCCGCTGCTCCTTCCCCCTCCTCCTCCTCCTCCTCCCCCCCCTCCTCCCCCCGGCGGCCAGGCTCGGGCTCGCCGGCGCCGCGGCGTCACGTGGAGCGCCCGCCGCCCGCCGCCGCTCGGTATCGGTCGGTCGGCTTGGGCCGCCGCGGCCGCCGCCGTCTTTCGAGCAGCGGCTCGCGACCCACCAAATGTATTAATAGGGGAACAAAAAGAGGCATGAACATAAAACTCGGGGGTCCGCGCGGATTTCTCGGATCGGCGGACCCCCCCTCCCTGGCGCGCGGAGCGCGCCAGGGGCGGCGCCGGAGGCGCCGCCGGGGCGCCTCAGCGCGGATCCGAGAAATCCGCGCGGACTCAGCGCGGATCCGAGAAATCCGCGCGGACTTCCGAGTTTTTATGTTTATGCCTCTTGTCGTTCCCCTATTTAAGAACCGCTGCTGCTGCTGAGATCCCTCAGCCTGGGCGGGCCACCGTGGGCCGTGGACGATGGCTCGGCGTGCCCGTGGTTGATCGGCAATGATTCGATTCCCTTGCACATGGAGCGTGAGCCAGAGTGAGCTCATGTCACAAACGAAGAAGTTCAGGGGTGGAAAGGTCGTGCACCGAACATTTGTTTTCAGAACCGTTTGTGGTCTGCACGACATATGCTCAGAGCATTTCTGTCTGAGACTGTCTTGGCTTAACGCATCGGGTGAATGTTCTAAAACATATCGCGTTGTTATGGGAACGCTTCTGCGTTCTGAGATCGTGACGTGGTATGCCTATAGGAATGCCGGGACGGTCGGCTCCTGCTCAACGTCTCAGCGTGGAGGAGGCCGAGGCTTCCAACGTGCTGACAAAAATCAGGAGGGGAACAAAACACACAGACACAATGAATCGTGCATCCCCAGGAAAATGAAGGAAAATATGGGAAGTGTGGGGGGGAAGACAACAACTCAGAAACCATAGGAAAATATTGGGAATCCTTTTATTTGTATGTCTTTATTTGTGTGTCCCAGGGCCCCTTCAAAAAAGCGGGGCGCAGGACTTCCGGCAGTGCCGCTTCGGCGCGTGGACCGCCTGCCGCCGCCCACCGCCGTGCGGTCGGTCCGTCGGTCGCCGCCGCCGCCGCCGTCGCCTGAGCACGAGCGCGGAGGAAATCGAAGACCACAAACGGCATAAATCAGGAGGGGAGAAACACACACAGACACAATGAATCGTCGATCCCCAGGCAGATATGGGAAAACATGGGAAGTGGGGGGAAAGACAACAAGCCCGAAAAATATCGGTCGTCGTCGTGGTTGGCGCTGCCTCGCCGCACCTCCTTTAAGTCACTCTCGCCTGGATCCTGAGGTAAGGCTGCAAGACCAACCAGACCAACCAGACCAACCAGACGAGCCAGACAAGCCAGACCAGATCAGACCAGCCAGACCAGAGAGAGAGTCAACAAAAGTTGCAATGGAACAAAAACATGCATTTCTAACGTCGTGGTGTCGAGTTTTTGCCGGCTTCACCGTCAAGCGAGAACCGCTGCTTGAATGGACGATTTGTTTCTCTTCCCGCCTAGCTGGCTTAAGAACTGCGTGCAAGTGGCTCGGAAGAGAACTGCAAACAAGAAGCCTTCGAAACTTGCTGCGTTCCGTGGTCCAGATAGAAAAAGATGTCAAACTCCTGCAAGCTGGCCTCCTACCTCACTGCAGTCTCGACGCATTGGTTGTCGTGGTGCTCGGCATTCTTCACGCACCCTCCGCCCTTCTCATGGCCTCACCAGGCGACGTGGTCGGGGAGGCCGCCGTCCGAGACTGCTGAATATTGCCCATCTGGGCCCTAAACCACCGGATCCCAAGCTGAGGATGCAAGACGAAGCTCTAACCAGACCAACCAGACCGGCCAGTCCAGCCAGATCAGAGCCAGACCTGATCTTGGCAAGCTTGGCGCGCCGCCGTGCGCCACCCGGCGAAGAACTTCATGGCAGTGCCAAGGTCTTGCTGTCGGTGCCGCGGACCCTGGAGGCAGAACCTCCCCCAGGACCCCCGTGGGCGATCCCCTTGTGGGCCCCCCCCCGGGACCCGCCTGGACCCCGAAGGGGGGGGGCATTTCAGCCCGGGCCCCTCCCTCCACCCACACCTCACGCCTCTGCCCCGTCCGTCCGGGAGGGGAACACGGGGAGGGGATCGACTTCACTACGAGAGTTCTTGTCCAGTTGCTCCATTTTTTGGGGGATTGGCGGCGACGACGAAGACGGCGACGAGGACGACGACGACGACGACAAGGGCAAAGACTCTCGCACACGCCGAAGGGTCAATCGGTTTTTGGACGCGGTGGCCCTCATGCGATCCAGCATTGCTTCAGCTGTCCTTGTCTCCGTCAGAATGTCGCTCCCAGCTGGATGCGCCTCGACGTCCTTTCGGAACCCCATCCTCGGGATCGGCCCTGGTCGTGCTGAAGAGTACCCTCCGGACGGCAGCTTATTTCCTGGGGTGCAGGCTGTCGACACCACGGCCCTAGCCTTCCACACTCTCTTTCCTGCCACGGATGTTGTGCCGATCTCGGCGCATCTGTCACACGCAGAAGTTGCGTGAGTTCCTGGCGCTGCACGTCTGGCATTCCGCGCGACGTGCGGCCAGCAGGAGTTTGTTCTCAGGGTACGTCGGCCCCTCGCCATCATCATGGCCATGGTCCCAGTCATGGTCGCAGTCATGATCACGATCCTTCTCTTCTGGAGTGGCTTCGGCGCGGCGCAACGATGCCCGTCTGCGCCGCGTTGCCAGCTCCGCGGGGGGCCTCGGGCCTCGCGCGGCAGCTCTCGGCGGCGGCGGGCATCAGCGCCGGGGAGGGGCAGGGTTATGTCGGGCGTGTCCCCCTTACAGGGGGATTTTCGACGAAAAATGAAACATACCCCCAAAATATTCCAAAAAGGTCCAAAAATATTCAAAACATAGTCCCCAGACTATTTTTGGACTATCTTTGGACTATGTTTGGGGTATGTTTTGTTTTTCGTCGAAAATCCCCCTGTTGGGGGATAGGCCCGACTGAAGGGCAGGGGGCGAGCGACAAAGCGCCGGCAGGAGGCCGCTCGCTCGGAGGCCGCGGCCGCCGTGCGTGGCGGGCGGCACCCGACGGGGAACCGGGTCCCCCGGGGGCGGGCCGCGCGCTGCGGCGGGGCGTCGGCGGGGCGGAGGCGTCCTCCTCCCCCTCCCCCTCCTCCTCCTCCTCCTCCCTCCTCCTCCTCCTCCTGCTCCTCCTCCTCCTGCTCCTCTCCTCCTCCTCCTCCTCCACCTCCTGCTCCCTCCTCCTCCTCCTCCTCCTCCTCCTCCTCCTGCTCCTCCTCCTCCTCCTCCTCCTCCTCCTGCTCCTGCTCCTGCTCCTCCTCCTGCTCCTCCTCCTGCTCCTCCTCCTCCTCCTCCTCCTGCTCCTGCGTTCTGGTCAGGGCGCTCCCCCGGGGCTGCGGCAGGGCGAGAGCCGCGCGGGCCGCGCGCTGCGGCAGGGCCGCGCCTCTGCGGCGGGGCCCTCGGCAGGGCGGGGGCGGGCCGCGCGCCTGCGGCGGGGCCCTCGGCGGGGCGAGGGCGGACGTCCGTGCTGGTCAGGGCGCTCCCCCCCGGGGGCGGACAAACAGGGAAAACCTCCGTCCCGATTTTTTCCGAGACGCCCGATGTCTGGGAAAAGGGGGGGGGGGGCAGGCCGGGGGCAGGCCTTCTCAGAAGGCGACGGGGCCACTCAGAAGCCCTCTGGCCTTCCGAGATGCCCTCCGTGGCCTGGAGGGCTCGTAGTTTCCACAGATCGGGGGCGGAAAAGAGGGGGGTATGACTAGGGGGGGTGGGTGGATATCCTGGCGGGGGCCATGATATCTCCCCAGATCTCAGGGCGCCTCTGCTTGTCTCGTTACGCCCCTCGCCCCCCCGCTGGGCCGCGCACGTGCCGCCGGTCATGATTTGCACCCCCCCCTCTTGGACACCCCCCTCTTTGCCGCCCCCGGCGGATGTCCGTTCTGGTCACAGCGCTCCCCCCCGATGGGCCCGGGGTCGACCGCGCTGGCGATCCGGCCAAGAGGCGGTGGGGAGGTCTCGCAGCGGTTGTCATGTGAGGGCCAGTTGCCAGCCCTTGGGACCGCAGGGCCGACTCGGGGCCGAAGAGAGTCGACTTCCGGGGTCGAGAGTTCCCCAGTGTCAGGAGCTCGGGAGAGGGTCGAGAACTCCATGGGCGGGCGGCTCGGTCTGGCGGCTCGACAAATCTCGTGTCGTCGGGTGATTGCCAGACAGACAGCACGAAACCCCACCCACGACCATGACGAATGTGAGGCAGACTTACTGAGCGGGTGCCGCGTTTGGGGTGTGGGATTTTGAGGAGTTGCCTACGCTCGAGCGCGTGCGTCGAAGGCCACCAAAATCTCACCCCCATGCGCCCGATGTTCGGACTCTCCCCCCCTGCTGGGGATGCCCGCGGATGCTGCCGTCTTGGACGGGAGTGCAAGTTTGTGTCACCAGTCTGGGTTATTCAGGCGACCCTCAGATCCAGGTGCGCGGAAAAGCATAACGACCGGTGGTTCCGAATTGTTTCGGGCCATGGGGTCATCAAGGATCGACCTGGTTCGAGAAGCTCATCAGGAAGACGGGGTCGAGAGGTCCGGTTGTGTATTCCGCGATGGTCTGACTCTTTCACCACATCGGTTCTCGGCTGACGTGCTTTTTTGGCAAGGGGTCCGACTCAGCCTTTGGAAGGGCCTCTCGGAGCCAGTCTGATCCTGGCGCTGGCACACGCCATGCATCGTTGAGCACATCTGTGGCGGACCCAAGACGCTGGGATGTGTACATGGCGCGGTTCTTGAGAGCTCGATGTGGCTACCCTCTGAGGGCTGCGCGGTACGTGTTCCAGGTGACATGTGAGTCGCTTCTGGCCGTGACAGGAGGTTCCTTCTTGCTTCTGGCTCGGAGGTGGATAGACCTCCTACCCTGACACGTCGATTAGTGAATTGGCCGTTTTCGGTTTGCGAGAAGGCGTCGCGGCCGTCATTTTTGCGGGTCCAGGTCCGTCTGTTTCGGCCCCAGGCCGTTTTCACTAAGGGGAGGTTTACTAAAGGGAGGTTTGTCCACTGCCGACTGGCCTGTTCCTGCTTCCGGTCAGTAGCTTTGGCCTTGTGTGTCGTGCCGCTGGTTCTGGCCGACCACGCCTCCGCGCGACACGCTATTTTCGCCCACAGCTTAGAGCTTAGAGCGTCAACGTCTCGAGCTGTAGCCTCCCGCCCCGCGGAGCGGAGCGACACGCTGTCCGCTCGCAGGGCATAGTGTGTTGCAGAGTGCGCCGCGAAACGCTATGCAACAGCTCCCGACTGCAACCTGGTCCAGAACTGGACAACGCTTGGCTTTATGTGGCCCTAGATCCGTGCAGAGGCTGTGTTTTTTGAACGCTGTGCGCGCTTCTGCACGCGCGGCGGCGACGCCGGCGCCGGCTGGCGCTCCAGGTTGAACACCCTCCAGGTGGGAGCTGGCTGGGGCGGGGCAGGTGGCCCTGCCCTGGTTCAGGCCGGCAGGGAGGGGGGAGAAACAGCCCGCGTCGTCGCCACGGCTGGACGCGGCTCGAAACACAGGTCCACAGTGAGCGGCTTGAATAAGGAACACTTGCTTTTCAAAAGGGGCTCGGTCGTTCCTTAGATTCGACATGCGTTATTTACAGTTCCTTATGCGTTATCTGTTATTTATCGTTCCAAATGCGTGATTCTTTGGGAGAACAAGGGGCTTCGTTCCTTATTTATCGTTCCTTAGGTCAGGCCGATAACTGTACCTGGACACCCGGAGGGGTCTGGAGACCGATTTCGACAGGATTCGTCGGGAGCCTTTCGACGGGGGTTGGTGCAAAGGGGCGGCAGCCAGAGCGCCGCGAGATTGCACTGACCCGGGCCAGCGCGCAGGATATGTCCTGCAGGACTCAGCAGGATCCTTCCGTGCCCGCGTGACCTGGGCTTCCATTGGCCTGGGGCGGAGCGCCCGCAGACTTGCCTTTCGTCGCCCCCCCCTCTGGATGAAGTCTCTCGGGGTTCCTCCGACGCAGAACCCCCTTCCCCCCCACGCCGGCCGCTTCCCGATCTCCAGGGGCCCGTGCTGGGTCCCGGGGGCCCACAGCGAGAGCAGCACGCTGCGCTGGGTCCTCACGGAGTGAGGGATCCATGGGCTTCAGGGGCTTCCGGGTGTTTCACGCAGTGCCTGGTGGACGCCGGGACCGCTGCCGTCGTCTGGAGCACTGGGAATGGGTGCAGCCGGACCGAGGTACCAGATCGAGGCCGTTTTGGGGAGGGTGCCTTTGTGTTCTTCGTGTCTGTTGGATGTTCTTGTGCATCCTCTGGTGGGGGGTACCCTTGGCTATTATGTCTGTTTTGGCTGGCGGGAGGTATCATGTTCTTGAGGAATGTTCTGCTGGCCGAGGTCCGACTGTACGGAAAGAATGGGTACGAAGACCGACAGCGTTTCCTGCCCATTTTGAACACGACCCGCTGTTGGTGTCGCCGCGGACGGTGTCCATTCGAGACAGAAGGCCGCCCGCCCAACAGCGGCTACTGTCGGTTTGGGACACCATCTGTTGGTGGGCATGGTACACAGTGTTTCCGTACCCATGTCGGGCGTCCGAAGTCACGGTAGGGGCGTGTTGCGTTGTGAGAAGCCATGTTGGAGGAAACCATGCACATTACCACAAGCGCGTTGTCGGGTGGTTGGGTGAGTGTGATCGGTGTGATGGGCGGTCGCAGTGCGCAGGCAGCTCTGCACACGCTGGCGCTGAGAAGAGGAACAGTTACACGGTTGATGAGTTCGTGCTGTAGTTGCGTTCTCTTCCTTTTGCCTCTCCCCCTCCCCTCTCCGAGCGCAGGAAATATGCCAAACACCGCGCAGGTCCACGTCTTACGCGATGTGGTGTAGTCGCTGGTGTGCCAGTCGGTTCCTCCTCATCTGCCTCGAGTGTCTTGTCTACACTTCGCTTGTCCCCTATTGGCCTAACCACTGCTTCCCATTTCCGATCCAGGTAGTGTTCAAGACATCGCGTTCAGAGATGGATAGGGGAGGTCGACGTTGACGGCATCGTGACCCGCTTGGAAACATCCCTGGAGGATAGCATGGAGGAGCCCAACAGTGGCAACCCGACGCGCCCCATCCAACCAGGAAAGAGGGAGGGCTGGCATCATGGCATTCCCGTCGTTGTCGTCGTGTTTCTCTTCCGCCTCGCCCCAAAGGTTTCGGGAACCTGAACTCAAAGCCTGAATCGTGAATTCAGAAAGCTACGACATGTTTGTTTTTGTGTGTTTTTTTTGTACGAAGTGCTTTGTACGCAGTGCTTTCTACGTAGTGTTTTATACGTAGCGGTTTCTACGTATTGTTTTCTATGCAGCGGTGTCTACGCAGTGTTCTCTACGCAGCGTATTATATTTAGCGTTTTTCACGTAGTGCTTTCTACTCAGTGTTTTCTGCGTGATGTGCCGCTCGATTCGGCGCTGTACTGGGCGCTGTACTAGGCGCTGTGCTAGTTGCTGCGCTTGGCTTTTTTTTATTGGGCGCTGTACCAGGCGCTGCAAAAGGGAACATCGAAGCGCGAAGCCCGCAAACCGACACCCGAAGCCAGAAAAGTCCAGACAACCGAACCCGAAAGCCAGCTCGAAACGCGGAACCAAGAACATCGAACATCCGAAGATTGAAAACCGAAGCCCGAAAGGCGGAGCCAACACAAATCGAAATCGAAATCGCAACCCGGAAGTTGGCCCGAAACGCGAAACCCACCAATTCGAAACCCGGAGCCAGAAGCCAGCAACCACCCGAAAGCCAGGCCCGCATCGTGGCACCCACTTGAGGGCAGCGTTTACTGCGCAGTGCTGTTGCACGCGCCTCCAATGAACGATGAGTGAAAGGCGCTTGCTCAACCATAAAGTGTAAAACATCATGCGCGAAAGTGTGCTTAGACATCACAGCGTGTAAGAAAAACACTGCGTAAAAAACGGCTGCGTAAAACAAACACCGCGTAAAACAATGGTGTAACGGACACTGCGTAAAAACAACAACACTGCGTAAAACACCTTGCGTAACACCCACAGCGTAGAACACACGCTGCTTAAACACACGCCGAAAAACACACGCCGATCAGACAACAATGCGTACAAGCATTGCGTAGCACACGTTTGCGTGAACAAGCATTGCGCTAAACACATTGAGTGCAAACCAGCAGGACGTTTAAACCACTGCATACAAACACCAATTCGTAAACACGACACATCGTAAAACAACAAAGACGGTGTAACAAAAAAATTGCGTAGAAAATGCAGTGTAAACAACCACTACGTAACAACCCTGCGTAGAACAATTGCGTGGACCAACAAATACGAAGTACAACACAATGCGTAACATACTGTGTAACATACACTACGTTAACAAGCCCAGCGTTAAATCTCATTGCCTTGAAAACGCTGCGTAACAACACTGTGTAAACACCTTGCGTAACGACACTGCTTTGTTGTTTGGAATGGCTGCGTAAATACATTGCGTTGAAAGCACCGTGTTTACAACTTGTGTAAAACAACGCGCTGCGTGAAACACACTGTGTGACAAGTCACTGCGTTACAACCACTTCGTAGCGACACATTGCGTAGCAACCTTGCGGACAAGACACTTGCGTGAAAAAACAGCACATTGTGTACAAACGTGGCGTCGACCGCACCGCGTTTCAAACACTGCGTAAAAAAAGCATGCAGTAAACTATCACTGCGTACACAAGTCACTGCGTTTAGGACACTGCGTAACGAACTGCGCTAGCGACGCTGCGTAGATGAATTCAATGCACGCTTCAGACCAACCTTCGCCTCGACCACTCCCCTCGACGCCTGGCGTAGCGGGGTATGGCCTACCGGTGGGTCTGGCGCATCTGTGGGCAGCTATATGCAATTTTTGGCCCGGACAGGAGGTGGGATGTGACAGCGATATCCGTGGTTGCGTTTTTGTGCGTGGGCGTTTCTTCTGGATGTCTCGTTTACATGATGTTTCGCTCGTGGTCTGCATACGCACGTAGGCAGTTCAGCTACCGTATCCCAAGGCCGTGCCCAGTTGCCTGCACAAGTAGATCAGCGGAGGCTGTTTTGCGTCGTTGATTGGACCTCAGCGATTTCGGCCTGAGGCTTTCGCTGCGTGCCTCCAGGCGCGACCGTTCGCACGCTGCGACTTCCCCTGCCAGAGAGGCATCTGCGTGGCTGCTGTCGACGCAGCGGTTGTGACGTGCCCGCCCTTGGCCTCGAGAGGGTGACCTCGTCATTCATGCTTGATGCTACGAAGATAGTTTAGCGTTTGTCTGTGCATGCGGTGAGTTGTGCACGCGCGCTGGCCAGAACGTTCCTTCTCCCCGCGTGGCTTTGCCTGCGTCTCCAGACGTCGCTCCGTTTGTCCCATGGCGCAGGGGCTCTGGAGGACCGGACACCAACGTGCGTAAGGACTGCTTCGCACCGCGGGCTGCTTTGCTCGGCCTGGGAGGCCAGAGCGAGCATCTCGGTGGCATGCCCAATTTGGGTGAGGCAGAGATGGGGGGGGGAGGAAAAGAAGGAGGAGGAGGAGGAGGAGGAGGGAGGAAGAGGAGGATCAGGAGGAGGAGGAGGAGGAGGCGGAGGAGGAGGAGGAAGAGGAGGAGGAGTGAGTGAGTGACTACCGTCGCGAAACGAGTTCGGTGACTGACTGGCTTGGCTCGGCCTTGGGCCTTAGGCCAACGGCCTGCCGCTATGTCGGCCAAATACTCATCACGCTTGGGTTACGCGGCCTCTAGACGCAAGGATCCGAGGCCTCTTAAACAGTGACTGGCGTAACTCCCACATTGGCAACAACGCCACAGCTTTAACCCCTTGTGTAAACGCATCCGATGACTACTATGGACCTCCCCTCCCGCAATCTGCAGCGTGTCCCCTTCTGGAAGCCCAGAAATCACATCATCAAAGTTAGTTGGGACGAAACACGGGCGAACAGACCAGGCGGCAGCGATGGTAGCGGAGCTGAAACATCTGAGACATTTGCGCCTTTTTCGTCAAGCGAATGGGCAGTTGTGAAAACACACGCAGCCGAAGGAACGGGAGGGGGCTGAGGGCGCTCACGCTTATGTTTCCGAGCCTCACCAGCCAATCTTTTTTCACACTCCGACACATCGATCGTCGCACGGAGGAGCCTTATACGTACCAAGAAAGCCCTTTGCTCGACCTCTCGAGAAGCATGACGCTCGATCTCGGGAACTCGGTGCCTATCGGCGGCAGCCCTGGACATAAGATCGGCCACCGTATTGCCCTGCACCATCCACGGCGGCGCAGTGCAAGCAGCCAACTCCTTCTCGCCGAAATGCGAGCTGATGAACAGCACACTGAAATCACCAGCGTCGCGAATACGAAATATTTCTCCCAGCTTCCACCACAAATCCGCGTCTGGCCCTGTGGGAAACTGGTATCGCTGGGTCGCCCTTCCGTCGGCCACCCCATTGTTGCCCATCACGTAAATGACTCGTCCAAAGGTGGTTTGCGCGGCAACTAGCAGCGCCCTCAGCTCGCCCCGCGGGGCAGTCTGGCTCTTTCCCGCCAACGGCCCTCAGACTGAAGCTCCCGCTCGGAAAAGTATTAAATTAGATATCTGCACAATTGCGATTCCAACCCGCCTGAACACATTATTGCTGGAATCGGCTCCACCACTGGCATCACCACACATATAAATGGGTTGCTGCTGCAGACCATGGCCGGACGACGCCATTGAAAGCTCGGTCCGTGGAGTACCCACAGCAACCCATGCTTCAGACATCTGTGGTGGCGAAGCGGCCACCCTTTCAGAAGTGATCAGTCCTCTCAGCCAAAAACTTTTATCTGCATGGGCTTGAGTGTGGGCTGCGCCTGGAAGCGAATCAGAGTGCGCATAGGCGGCTGACCCACCTATTCTTGGCGCGGCCCCACGCCCGTTGGAACATATCCTCGTCGGCTTCGCCACACCGAGGGCACAACCTGGACACGTGCTCCCCCTTGGCGGCTTCATTTCGGTGGACCCTCGGCCACGAAGCACCAATAGCTACCGTCACCAGAAGCACGGCCGGGAATTGTCGACACAGGGCTCGCATGGAAGTCATGTCAACTCCTTTTCCCCATGCCTGCTCCACAGAAATGGCGAGATGCATCCAGCCACAGCCGAGTAGAAATGGATTGCTGAACGTCTGCAATCAAATCCAGCGGAGCATCCACATCCTCGAAACCTGTCCAGACATCGTCATCCAACAGCCAGGTGATAGTTTCCTCGGGAGCTGCTCAAAGGGGAAAACAAAAACACGAAATTGCCGTCTCTGGCGACCACCGATTGTCGAGCAACAGTCTGATGATAGCAGACATGGGTCCCCTGATGTGCCTTGAGCGCTGCGATTGCTCGACCTCCCGAAGACGTTCCATTGTCAGTGACCAAGCCCGCGAAACACAACGACGGATGTCAGGTTCCGTCTGCCACACCTGAAACCACATACGAATGCACTCCGCAGGCAGGCGCAAGGCTGGGCCTTGCGGAGCACGCAAAGCAAGCAGACTAGTTAAGCACCGGCCTCGCGACGGGGCTGCCAGAGCCGTTCCAAGCCTGCGCCTATAAGTGGCGAGGTAGACCCCGAGCACGCCGTGGACCTGGAAACCGTAGACGCCAGCTGCCTGACCACTCGAGCTTGGACGTGGTGGCGTAGCACCTCCCAGTCGCCGCAAACTTGCGGACCTGCGCGCGCATGGCGTCGTATTTTCGAAACCTCATCCTGCGCGTCTCACGTGCATGTCAGCGCCCGCATCCTGGATCAACTCCAAGATAGCCCGCAGTGCGCTGCCCCCGAACTGTATGCCCTGCAACACGAAGAGCACGCGCAACACGAACTGCGTCAGCATGCCGAGAGCAAAGCACTACACTTTTTGCCGCAACTCTCAACTTGACTGCAGCAAGCCCCTGGCGCGCCATCTTGATACTGTCTACCAGCTGGCTGCGCGCGCTCGACTGGGACCCAACCGCGCGCAACGACTAGTCATCTATCCAGAGTCTGTTAGACATCTGTGGATGCGCTGTGCACAGCCTGTGAAGAATGTAGTATGTCATAATCCTGCCGAACCTGGCCCCTGACCTCAAACCCTGAACAACCGATTGAG